GCAGTCGTCGGACGGGCACTCGACGAGCGGGGTGAACTGCTTGGTGGTCACGGGCTGGAAGACTTCACTTCCGCAGCGATCGCAAGAGTAGGCGTTGACCTGCACAGCAGGCTTGACGTCCGACACTCTGGTTGCAATACCACGGACTGTGATGAGATGGCCCAGGTGCTCTCCTCGCACGTTGCGGACAGCCAGCGCCTTCATGCTGCGCTGGCTGCTGGAACCAGACGGTATCCTGGGCCTGAAGTTGAGCGTGTATCGTCTCGTCAAGGCAGGAGGAAACATGGTCTCGGGCGCAGCCTGTGCGTTGTCGTCGACTCCCTGCATCTCCTGCTGTCTCTCGTTGCGCTTCGAGCGCTGCGTCATGATCACGTCCAGGACGTCGTCCTTGAAGCTGGTGCTGTTAGTCTCTGTCTGGGCAGGATGTCACGGGGCCGTACTCTGGTTCTCTGGTGGGTGCGGGCAGGCACTTGTCGACTGCGCGCGAGAAGATCTCGATGTAGTGGTGTGCATTGCGCTCGATGGACTCGACCAGCCGGTAGTTGTGCTCGTCGTCTGAGGTCGCCTTCTCGTAGGCTTCCACGTCGTTGAGGTCTATCTGGATCTCGTCGCGCACGCGGTTCGCTACGTCTTGGAGTTGGTCCATGTACTTGAGCTTCGACTTGGCGCGGGACTGGGCTCCGTTGGGCGCAGGGTCGTCCGAGTCGTCCACCATGTCGTACTCCTCGTCGCCATTGCCGCTGATGTTCAGGCCCTGGAGCTGGTCGGCCGCGTCGGTCGAGGCTGATTTGTAGTTTTTGAGGAAGTCAACAAAGGCGGCTGGCGGGTGTTAGCTGGGGGTTTCAGTGTTTTGCGCGTGCACACACACCCTCCTGCTCGTCGTAGTTGACGGGCGCACTCGTGGTAAGGAGCGCCATGGTGTCTGGGGCTGGTGTCGGGGTCGTCGTCGAGGGTTGATGCAGCGGGGAGGGATGCGCGGTAGCAAAATTGGGGCTGGTCGCGTTGCAGCTCTGAGGCGCGTCGACCCGCGTTCCCACGCCCGGCGACTAGCACCGCTTTGGGGCACCGCCGCCGCCCTGCACCTCGACCTCGGCCCGCGTCGAGAGCTCGAGGTAGGCGGCCTGCGGCACCGACAGCAGCACCGCCATTCACTCCTCCACCCTCGCCGCCATGCCGCCCAAGAAGCCCGCCGGCAATGCTGTCCAGGCCGAAGTTGCCCTGCAGCAGTCGTTGAAGAATTGCCTGGTCAACCTCCCGTCCTCGCTCGTCTCCGTGCTCGTCAACGCCAACACCGTCGCCCAGAATGTCGTCGTCGAGCTCACGTACCGCCAGCCTCCCCCACCGGGTGCGTCGGACAACAGGAACGCCGCGCCCAAGTCGGTCTTTGTAGGATGGACGGGCATGCAGAGCAAGCGCCGCATCGCGCCTGTCGTCGGACAAGATGGCCTGAGAGGCAGCCCGGCAGTCAGCCAACAGGACCTGCCAGCAGTCGAGGTGGATGCCACCTTCGCCAGGCTGATTGGGCTCCAAGAGGGCCAGAAGGTGGGCATACTGCTGCATCTGGATCTTCCACAGGCGCATACCATCAACATCGAGCCATTGACCCCTGTTGATTGGGAGATGATAGAGCTGCACGCCCAGTTCTTGGAGCTGAACTTCCTCTCTCAGATACGCGCGCTCCCGAACCCCCAGGCCCAGTCGCCGCATCCTCTCACGCTGCACCTGTCTCCCACGACCACGGCGAACATCACCGTCACCTCCATCGCTCCTGCGCCGCCCAACACCTCACTCTTCGTCAAGATCTCGCCCGACGCCGAGGTCATCGTGGCGCCCAAGACACGGCAGAAGGAAAGGAGCTCGACGCGCGAAAGCAGAAGTGTAGGCGCTGCGTCGAGGAAGAGCGGAAAGAGCACGGCAAGCACAGTCCGGCGGCGCAGCGGTCGCGAGGATGCCGCGAGCAAAGGCGTCATCTTCCTGCGTGGAGTTGATCGCAGTGTGGCCCAAGAGTGGTTTGACGAGGAAGAGGACGCAGACGCCGAGGGCCTGAAGGTGTGGGTAGACAAGGACGTACTCCTCACCAAGGCTCTCAGAGGCGCCAACTGGGTCTCCGTGTCAATCATCAAGCCCGCCGGGCTACAGGAGCCCGTGGATATGTCCAAAGAGCAGGAGCAGGAGAAGCCCGCAACGCGCGTGGTTGCCAAGATCATAGCATGGGAGGACGCGCCGGATAGTCGACATGTGGCACTTTCAACCGATCTCTGCAAAGTTCTGGGCTTCGAGAACTTTGTGGGCGGTCTCGTCCGGATCGAAGGTGCTCCAGCTCAGACGCCCAAGCCGCCGGCCATGAAACCGCAAGGTACGAAAGAATCAAGGGAACCTGTCGTCAAGTCTGTCAAGATCATCCCCTTTTCCACCATTGCATCACAGGTCAATGCGTCGTTGAAGTTTGGCGGTGAGTCCAAGCAGGACCAGGAAAATGCCATACAGAAGATCAAAACTACATACGGAAAGAAGAACGGACTCCTGGACGGGCCACTTACAGACGGAATGATCCTGCCTCCGGTGAAGGACTCCGAGCTTGGTTGGCAAGGAGGCATTGTAAGGTTTGAGCCGCCATCATCGACAGCCGGAGTCTCATGGGTGCTCTTCCCGGAGAGGAAGCCACCACTCGAGCTAGGTCAAGAGGTGCCAACGCCAACAAGCTGGGCCAAGGGCTGGCAGCAAGGTGACCCGCTACCGCAGACGCCTGCGAACCTGGTCGGCATAGACCCTCTCATTCAGCAACTACGATCACACCTGACGCACAACTCTTCCGTCTTACTCACAGGTGGCCTTGGAGCAGGAAAGTCGCAATGCGCTCAACTGCTCGCCCATCAGCTGCGGACCGAGTATCTATTCAACACCATCTATTTTCCCTGCCGCAAACTTGTAACGGATGAGACGCGAGTCGCGACTATCAAGGAGACTCTGAACAGATTGTTCGCTTCTGCCTCATGGGGCGCAAGAGGCGGCGGGAATGCAGTAGTCATTCTTGACGACTTGGACAAGCTTTGCCCTGTAGAGACTGAACTTCAAGTTGGCAACGAGAACGGACGGAGTCGGCATGTTAGCGAGTGTCTGATCAACATCGTCAGGCAATACTGCTCCATGGACTCTGGTGTAGTCTTGCTAGCAACTGCGCAAGGTAAAGAGGCGCTGAACAACGTCATCGTTGGCGGACACATTGTCCGCGAGATTGTCAGTCTCAAAGCGCCCAACAAAGACGGTAGAAGGAAGGTCCTTGAGATGCTTGCTTTCAAGGATGCCAAAACAGAGCAGTCGAAGGAGCCCAATGGCCATGCTTTCCCGCCATCTCCATCTACCAGTCGACCTAGTACCGCTCACCGCAGTCACCCTAGCACTGATAGCATACCACAGCAACCCTCTGAGGATTACGCCTTTACCATCGACACTTCCATTGACTTCCTCGACCTCGCTGGCCAGACAGACGGCTACATGCCTGGCGATCTTGTGCTACTTACATCGCGTGCCCGTAACGAGGCATTAATTCGTTCAGTTACATCAACCGCCCCTACTGTTTCTCTTACACGGGATGACTATACACAAGCCCTCTCCGGCTTCACGCCCGCTTCCCTGCGAAATGTCACTCTTCAATCCTCCACCACGAAATGGGATTCCATCGGCGGTCTTCATACAACACGACAGGTTCTCCTAGAGACCCTTCAATACCCTACAACCTACGCACCCATCTTCGCAAAATGCCCACTACGTCTCCGATCAGGTCTACTCTTGTACGGCTACCCAGGTTGCGGCAAGACTCTCCTCGCATCCGCCGTAGCAGGCGAGTGCGGCCTGAACTTCATCTCAGTCAAAGGACCTGAAATCCTCAACAAGTACATTGGTGCCTCTGAAAAGTCTGTCCGTGATCTCTTCGAACGCGCAGAAGCAGCGCGACCTTGCGTTCTGTTCTTCGATGAATTCGACAGTATTGCACCGAAACGTGGGCATGACTCAACGGGTGTAACAGACCGTGTCGTCAACCAACTTCTCACCCAGATGGACGGAGCGGAAGGTCTTTCAGGTGTCTATGTCTTAGCTGCTACGTCACGACCCGATCTGATCGATCCTGCGCTCCTCCGTCCTGGTCGTCTTGATAAATCCCTTCTATGTGATATGCCAGACGTGGAAGAGCGCATCGACATCCTACGTGCCGTAACACGCAAACTGCACCTCGCACCCAGCCTCCTAGGCGACGGACAGGAAGGTGAGAATCTCCGCGAAATAGCGATGCGAACAGAAGGCTACTCCGGCGCCGATCTCCAAGCTGTGGTATACAACGCCCAACTGGAAGCCATCCACGACGTGCTCGGAGACGTCGACCCCTCGAAGATCGATCACAAGAAAGATGGAAGCAGCGGTAGTGGCAATGGTAAAGAGAAGGGTATCCCAGATTTCTCCTACTTCCGCTACGGCGACGACCCTTCATTTACATCTACCTCTGCCCTAGCCACTTCCGCCCAACTCACCGAGCGCGCCATGATTGCTCAGAAAATCGCGGCTCTACAAGCTCTTCGCAAGAAGCAGAAGCAGCTCCAGCGTTCTGATGGCTCGTCGCAGCGAGAAGACGAGGACAGGGCGACTAAAGAACAAGAAGACGGGGGTGAGAGGAAGGATCCGCAGATCCAATGGAAGCACATTGAGTCGTCTCTTTCCAGCGGACGTAGCAGTATCTCGGCTCAAGAGCGGATGCGTCTCGAGAAGATTTATAGAGAGTTTGTTGATGGGCGAGATGGAGATTTGCCGAATGGCCAGGGTGGAACGGAGATTGGAGGGAGGAGCAGTCTCATGTAATCAATGTGTGCATAGTAAGAGTGTAGATCTTGGTCCAGCATGACAAAAGTTGTATCACAGTAGGTTTGCGGAAAGTATGTATATCCATTCATACACAAGCTTACGCATGCATCCCCTCTCAACTCGGTATTCCCTGTCGTCCCATTTCTTTATTTCGGAATAACGCCCTTGACATCCTCCGCAACCTTCTCAAGCTTCTGCTCCGCCTTTCCCATCATACCCATCGCCCCGTCCTTTGCTTGTTCCGCTTTTCCTGCCAAGCTGGCTTCCCGGCCGCCGAAATTCCAGTAGTTGAGGTAGCGGTACCCTTGGACGAGTTGCGAGGAGAAGTTGATGGCGTGGCATCCGAAGAGCAGGTAGTTGGCTGGTGTGACTGCCATGGCGTAGCGCATGAATGTGCCGGAGTAGAGGGTGAGAGCGCCGGTCATGCGGCCGGAGATGCTAGGGTGGGGTTAGCTGAATGTTATGAGGAGGGGTGTGGTGGAATCAGGTCGAGGATGTGTAGATAGGAAGAGGGCGGGTTGCGTCGCGTATTGTCCAAGTGGTTTGGCCATAGTAATGTCGTGAAGAGGAGGAGGCAGCACGTACATCTCAGGATCTTTGCTCATGTCCGCAATAGCCGCGATTGGGATACCAAAGTTACTCGCCGGGCCCCAGAAATCTATCTTTGCGTTAGCCCACTACTCTCTCTTCTCTTCCCTTTCACATCACTCCTCTGTCAAATATCCAGATCTATCCTCCATCGCGCCCTTCTCCCAAGCTCTTGCAATGCGCAATCCCGCGAAGAGACGAACGAGGGAAACGTACGAGTCGAGCAAAAGTAATCCGTATACTTGTTTGAGCGAATCTTCGCATTGAGGGCTTTGATCGCGGCGGCCATGTTGACTTAGTTACCGGGAGGAAACCGAGGACCGAGTTGCGTGGGCGGCTTGACGTGGAAGCTCTCGTGGGTCGGTTTGTCGCAGTTTGCGAGTTGCGGACGCACGACGGACAGGTTGGGTGCCAAGCGATAATTGGGGGGCCGAACAACAGGGACCGGTGCGGGAACCGCAGACTGCTTTCCGACAACGGGAAAAACATCACGTGCACGATGATGCTGGCCGGAAATACGAGGGAATAAATAGGATGGACTGTGTCACAAGCAGCTAGGTCGAGTAGAGCTGGCGAATTGCACGTTATTTCTTCTCCGGTGTCGTGTGGGATGGGGATGAAGCAATTGACATGGTCGCTCACTATGGCGAAGACTTTCAATATGGGCCCGTCAAACTTGGGTCATTAGAGCTAATCTCATGGTCAAATTGACGTGACTGATTCTTGTTCTGCATTTAACCTGGTGGTATGCTCGATGCCCCTCTAACTAAACTTCCGTACACTCTCGAACTTGGTATACTGCCCTTTTGGTGCTTTTTGCAATCACTACCACATCGCATCTTAGGGATACTTCTCCCTGACGATGTGTCGGACGTGTGTCTGGTCCTTTTCCTAGGTATCTCCTGAGACGTGCGATGTAGGCACGCGCCGTGTTCGATCGTCCAATGCCAAATCTTTCCAGTGATATCTTATCATGATCGTTCGTTGTCCTGCGTCTACCTGCCACCGAAGCCAGGCCCACCGCGACCAGGGAAACCGGGCGGTCCTCCGAAGCCTGGTGGTGCCCCGAATCCAGGTGGGCCACCAGCGGGAGGGAAACCGGCTATGGCTTGTTAGCAAACTTCCTCAAGTTATGATCCTGGGCAACGTACGTGGTCCACCAGGTCCGCCACGACCTGGGAAGCCAGGCGGGCCACCAAAGCCTCCAGGTGCGCCTGGGAAGCCACCTCCGAAACCAGGACCAGGACCCCCAACACCAGGAGCTGGGCCAGTAAGACCGACTGGGAGACCACGTCCAGCTGGACGCGCAACACCAGGTCCCGCAGCCAGCGCAGCAGCAGTAGTTGATCCTCCAGCGTTCCCGAGTCGCGCGGCAGGGTCGGCAGGCGGTGGTCCGTCGACAGATAATGAGATTACGTGCGCGCCACGAATAATAGTAAGTCCAATTGCGCGTCGCTCTTCAGTCTCGGTGACCTGCTGGGTTGCGCCGGGCGCGGCCTTGCCCCTTCTTCGTGTGCGTCGGAACTCTTCTGTGTCGGCGAGAACGAGGTTCATGTGCTGCGGAGATGGAGTTAGCAGAGTAGGCAGAGAAAGGGTACGCGACACTGACCTTGTCGAATGCGAGCATCTGCCCGACCATTTGTCTACCATCTTGGAGTGTAACTTTCATGCGGTAGTTGATCTGAACTTGTAAGTTGCATGCGACTATGAGCGGATTCTGGAGCGCTTACTAGATTTTGCTATATCACCAGACGTCAGTCAGTTTCTATGCGCGTCTTCTCTCAGGTCAAAGAGTCGAGCTGCTGGGCGGATTTACTTACCATCTTTCCCTGTCGGTTTGCGGCGCCAGACATGATTGGTATTGCGCGTCCGAGGACGACTTGAAATGCAGGGAAGGGTATGTAAGAATTCTGAGAAAGTATCCCTTTGGTGTTGGCGGTAGGCGGGGCGTATGGAGCTGCTGGCTGTTCGCGATAGAAGTTGCTTCGGAGCTCTGGCAGCCTGGCACGTGCGCCGCGGCTTGGCTCGCTTAAGCCACCTCCGCTCAAAAATGCCTTGAGAATTGCGACTCCAACACCAGCGACACGACAGCCCACCCATCGACTACTAACCTCCGCAGTCATCACCATGGTACGCACCGATCCTCGACCGCCAGTTTCTCTGCGCAAACTAACAGCCATGACAGTCCGACTCCAAGGCCTCCAACCCCATGCGGGAGCTCCGCATCCAGAAGCTCGTCCTCAACATCTCCGTCGGCGAGTCTGGTGATCGTCTCACTCGTGCCGCCAAGGTGCTCGAGCAGCTGTCCGGTCAAACCCCCGTCTACTCCAAGGCCCGCTACACCGTCCGCACTTTCGGTATCCGAAGGAACGAAAAGATCGCTGTCCACGTCACCGTCCGTGGCCCCAAGGCCGAGGAGATCCTCGAGCGTGGTCTCAAGGTCAAGGAGTACGAGCTCCGCAAGCGCAACTTCTCAGAGTCTGGCAACTTCGGTTTCGGTATCAGCGAGCACATCGACTTGGGTATCAAGTACGACCCCAGCATCGGGTATGTGGAATCTGGATCCTGAGCGAGGGAGACATTGGCTGACTCGAGCAGTATCTACGGTATGGACTTCTACGTCTGCATGACCCGCCCCGGTGAGCGCGTCGCCAAGCGCAGGCGGTGCCAGAGCAAGATCGGCTCCTCCCACAAGGTCAACCAACAGGAGACTGTCAAGTGGTACAAGAACCGATTCGAGGGTATCGTCCGATAAACGTATCGTCGGTTTGGGGGAAAGGAACGAAGTGAAGATTTTGCACGATCACCAGCATTTTCGGTCTCGGGGGGTTCGGTCCTACGGAGTCCTGGAATGTATCTTACAAAAGAGCAAGCATTGAACTTGCGGCCTATCAATGGAGCGACCTCGTCTCTAACGAGCGGGTCTACGATCACAAACACAATGGAGGCTTCACTTGGGTGAATGTTCCGCATAACCATTGTATGATCATCTCTGCTCGATGTCGTCGCATGTGATGTGTCTGTTCTGTTGTTGCACTGACATGACAGGATCGACTAGCACCCCAAGATACTCGAATGTCATCACACTTGATCTACATGCCTGTGCGGGACAAGTGTGAATGACTGTAAGGTTGAGACGTCTAGACACGCATCTCACGTAATGCAGATTTGAGGACGACTAACTACGCGATCCAAACCTGTCGTCATACTTGCTTATCCTCGCGTGGATATACAGTAGGTGCGATACGGAATCCACGCCACCAAGAACGTCGCGGGGCATCCGCGTCGCCCAAGCCTGCAAGAGGCGCGCACACGGGGGCTATGACTTGAACATTCAACGCGGTCTCACGAAAACCTTGTTGTTGTACATCTGAATTTCTTTGATATACACAGACCGTTCATTCAGGAACATGCATATAGCTCCCAAGAGGACATTAGACTGTGAAGTCAAAATAACACAAGCACCACCATACATATCAGCCATAATACTCCCGTCTACATCAATGACCACCCTCATCTCTCCTGTCATTCCACTTCATCTCGCGCTCAGCCACCGGATTACGCAACTACCAGTTCACGCGCTGTGCCTGCGGCAAAGCAGGCCGGGCGGCTGCGAGCGCCCCGTAGACCTCTCCTGCGGCCGTGGGTCACGGTGGAGTAGTTTGGCGAGACGCTCGGGTTGTGTGCGTGGCGTAGTCGCTGACGTTGACTGTGAGGCGTGGTTTTGCGGTGTTTGGGGTTGAATGACAGAGTGGTTCGATGGGCATGCGCTGGGTGCGTCGCGTTGGCAGCGATTTTCTACGAAGGAATTCGCCGAGTGTTGCAGATGATCGCAGCAGTGTGGATACAACATTTATCAATCATAACGTAAGCATTCGGAAGTTCAAGTTTTGAAAAGCTAAGATCTTTGTATTTCATTTGGCATCCTCAAAGATGACAATAGATCTGACTCTGCTCCATTCTGCTGCAGCAACCCCCCATCCCTCATGTCATGTACAACGAGAGGCGTAGTAAGGAGGCGTTCTTACTTCAAAGGTATCTTAAAAACATTCCCAATCCCAGAACACCGATTAGCGATAGACGGAGAGACAGACAAAGGAAAAAACAAAGCCCGGCCGAAGCCTCGCTTCAAAGGGGTGGAAGAATGTACATTTCCTGATATCGTTGTGCGAAAACCATGCAACCAGATTCCAGATTGATTGAGAAGAGAAAGGAGAGGTGACGATGCGCGCTAAATCCACAGTACAACACACGATCAAGCAGCAAACTCAACGGCTTTATCGCTGACCCGTCACTGAAGAGCCAAAGTCAAAGCCTGTGGGTTGTTGCTGTTGTGGGGGTGGGTATGAGGGCGATGCTAGCGGTGTGTAAGCACCGGGGATGGGAACAGCAGCGTACTGCTGTTCACCCGGCGCAGCAGCAACATGCTCGTTCCTCCTTTCTTGGAAGCCTGGAGATGGCAATGGTGGGGATACGGTGCCTGTCCGTGTGGGTGCAGAGTCGAAGCCATCTTGCTCGATTTTGGGTGTGGCACCAGTGACCTTGATAGGCGGTGCCTGGAGAGTGAATGGTTGGGGCTGAGCAATCTCGCGAGCGTAGGCGTATTGGACCTTGTCGCTCTCGCCAGCCTCAGCGGCAGAGTGCGGGTCAACGTACATTGGGTGACCTGGAGGTGGGCGCCAGCCGCCGGAGCGGGGAGACATGGGACCAAAGCCAGGGGTGTTGGGTGCGGATTGCGAGCGAAGCTGGGCGAGGTAGAGATCGGAACGGGCACGGTCGCGCATGGCCATGGACTTGCGGAGCTTGCGCTTAGACCAGAAGCGGTAGAAGACGATGCCGTAGATGGCAATGACTAGAACTTCGATTACGACTTCGATGATGCAGCAAACGAGAGCCCAGTTCTGATGAAGCGTTAGTATTCATTCTCCGTTGCCACCATGAAGAGTGTGCTTACCTGAAGACGGCAGACAAGGCCGTAGGCGATATCGTCCTCGAAGAGATGTCGTCGCTTGTTGTCAACGCAGGACCAACCCCACATGTCTTTGTTGTTGTTCTGCGCTTTGCTTTGGTTGAATACGGCTGCACCAACACCCCACATGACGATGCTGAAGATGAAGAATCCAACAGCAAAGACAGTGTAGTATGCCGCAACCTTTTCAGCTCGATGGTGACCTCCTCTCCAGTAGGCGATGATGACAAAGATAGACATGACGAGGGAGACGCAGGCGATGGACAGCAGAAGAATTTGAGGCCAGACCTTGGTGTTGTCGGCCCATGGTGGAAGGTTGT